GAAACAATTACTAGTCATCCGACTCCTATATATGAAGACAATACTGCATGCATTGCTCAAGTGAAAGGAGGTTACATCAAAGGAGACCGAACAAAGCATATATCACCAAAGTTCTTCTCAACACATGATCTCGAGAAAGATGGAAAGGTTGACATCAAGCAAATCAAGTCCAGTGAGAACCTTGCTGATTTATTTACAAAAGCGTTACCCCCGAAGAAATTTGAAGAACTCGTACACAAGATTGGCATGCGTCGCCTCCGTCAATTATGCTAAGCTGAGGGGGAGAATTTTATGAACTGTACTCTTTTTCCCTTGATCAGGTTTTTATCCCACTGAGTTTTTCCTGACAAGGTTTTTAACGAGGCAGTACATAAAATTAGAATGGGTTACTAAACTATGCACATTTATAAAGTACCCATCATTAATTGAAAAATGAACATTCAAGGGGGAGTGTTATGAAATTAATGATTGTTCATTTATTCAATTAATCAGACCTACTTTCTAGAATAGTAGATTAAGACACTAATTGATGAACACTAATTATGTACAGTACTTCCCACTTGTATTTGTATTCATACCAAGCCTCTCCACTATAAATAGAGGCCTAATCCCTGCATTGTAATTACCGTTAAGAATAAGAATAAGAGTGAAGAGTTAATAGAGAGAAATCAGAAATAATTACCACTGCAATATTCGATCTATAATCGGCTCTTGTTCAAAGCTAAAGAGTAAAGACGAAACTGGAGAGAATTCTGAGATCAATTCAGAGAAGCCTACTGCGGAGAGGAGAGGAGGGCATCACTTGAGGGAGTGAGCGAGAGAGATTACCGAGCTGATTCCGGAGCCAAGGAGATGAAAGAAGTAAACACCAGCCATGGCGGATCGCCGCCGCCTGAGGAGAGGAAGAAGAAGGAGGCGTTGGGATGGGTGGAATGGCTGCGGGGGTGGCTGTGCCTGGCATATGAGATGCTCTTCCAGAGGATAGCCGCGAGCCACTTGCAGAATCCTCTGCCTCTCCCTCCCGTCAATGGCCTTACCTGCATCGTCACCGGCTCCACTAGCGGCATCGGCAGAGAAACCGCCAGGTGACTGAATTTACTCCTTTTGTTTCCATTTTGATTTCAATTGAATCTCTTGGTATGAATCTAGGAAATGGATTAGTGCTGGGAAGCCTATTGAACGATTCGTTGATCAGTCATTGCTAAGTTATTAGAACATTGTTCGATGGAGTTAAAAAAGTATGCTATAAATGAGAGCGCTCTGCTTTTAGGAGGTGTGATCTGAACTTGTAAGGAGGTGACTGGTTCATGCCTTTTGGAAATTGGAATCCGGAAATAGAATTAAAGAGAGGCACATATTTGTTACTTAATTTTTTGAAGGAAAGTACTTTAATAATTTTTCCTTTTCATTCTTCACTTCTCTTCCACTTTTGTCCATGATGATTCATTAAAGGCTTGCAAATGTTGGACAACCTTCCAATTATATTTCCGTTTTCCAATTTAAAGTACTTAATATCTGAAAGTTCTCTGTCACCTTCTTCAGTAGTCTGCAAATCAGCTTCCCTCCTCATCTCAAGTTTGATTTATCATCTATTAATTAACCTAACTGGATGCATATAAAAATAGTTTTGGTTTTATATCATATTCTCAAAAGAATATATTAAGATATTTCAATTTTATATATCAAGATCAACCATTGCTGTATGGCTTGTAGTGGTGATGGTGTGTGAGAGAAAATGGAGGTAGGGGGTGGGTGAGGAGCATCTTTATTATGGGACTTGCATTTATTAGATGATAGAACATACTAAATTTGCCTTCACCTAGAATCTTTGACTGCGTTCTTGACATTTTAACTATGATACCAGGGCATAATATATTAATAGGAAGATTCTATGTGCTAAAATAGTAAGCGTTCATAGAAAATATTGGGATATTTCAATGTACATATTGCGTGGTATAGAAAGAAGTAGTGGAATAGATGGGATATTGTGTTTTAAGTGAAAAAATGTTTGTTTTTTAAATTTTAAAGGTATGAAATGAATATTGAATACTTAAACAGTTTAGCCTTTTCATTCTTGAGTAGTCTTTTGCAGTTCCACATTTCTCCTCAAGGTTTGTTTCTGTTCACAAACTACTACTACAATTCTGATTCCAATGTACTTCCAAACACACACACTATATCTTTTACTGATACCCTTTCCATACAAAATACGGAGTATTAGATATATCTACCCTTCTGATTCCTATTTTCCAAGAAAACAGCTCCTTAGAACTTTGCGTTTGGTCTTTCTTTTTTGACCCTATATGTGTTTTCTTCTCATCTTTAGATGTAAGAATGAAGGCATAAAAAACTTATGTCTTTGCCTGCCTTCGTTATTTATTTTTGCATGTACATTATGGAACAACACAAGAAAACAATCCAGTGAAACGCCACATGTGGGTGCATGTTTGTATAACCTTTCCTTCTTGGCACAGACAGTTGGCACAATCAGGGGCTCACGTGGTTATGGCAGTCAGAAATACAATTGCTGCAAATGACTTGATAAAGGAGTGGCAGGAGGGTTGGTCTGGAAAGGGCCTTCCTCTAAATATTGAGGTGTGTTATACTGTTATCAAGTAATGTGGACTTGATATTAAGTACTCAATGTAGGCTGATTGTTTAATTAAACATTATTTTCTATCAGATTCTACAATGTGTTTAAATTTTTTTGAAATGAATTAGTTGAGTTGAGGGTACTAATTTTCTTTAATGCAATCTTGCAAAGGCCATGGAACTTGATCTTCTCTCATTGGATTCTGTTGTGAGATTTGCTGATGCATGGAATGCACGTGCAGGACCATTACACGTTCTCATTAACAATGCAGGGATATTTGCTATTGGGGGTTAGTATTTCACATTCGATGAATTTAACTGCCAAATATATTCTTGAACAAACACATACATTAAATTTGTTCTGTTTTTGTTACTTTTATTGTCATATTCAATGTTTTAATCTTTTATTTACCCTAATTTCCTTTTATTCTCTTTTTAATTGTATTCTTTTCTGAAGAACTGTATTAGAAGTGCCTTTGCTCCTCTGCATTTTTATTTCTTATGATCTATATCATTTTCATTAGGGCATTGAATCCCAATCTTTTGTTTTGATGGATCTGTAGGAAAAACTCAACTTGCATATTTCTACCTTTCTTGATTAACTAGTTGCTTATACTACTATTTCCTTTAGAACCACAGAGGTTTTCAAAGAATGGTTATGAGGAGCACATGCAGGTGAATCATCTTGCTCCAGCATTGCTTTCTGTATTGCTCTTACCATCTCTTATCAGAGGTTCTCCAAGCAGAATTGTCAATGTGAACTCCATAGTAAGTTACAGGATGACGTGCATCATTTTCTAAATTTGTTTTACTTCAGCATACTCCTGGATTGTTGATTAATATTTATATCATCAGTTTTTCATTCCTTTGACATTTGTATTTTTTAAATTGATTCATATAAGAGGAAATTATTGTTCGAAAAAAAAGGTTTATGAATAAGCATGACTATTCAGTGTATTAACATAAAACATGAGTAGCAGCCCTCCCAGCTTATTACAATGTTAACGGAAATAAACCCGTAATTTGAGGGATGCTCCACTGAACTTAATAATTGAATATAGTCACTTAGGCAAGAATCCGCATCTCATTGTCCAAAAGTGAAAACCTAAATTATAGTTGGCCACAATATACAATTGCCTCAAACCGGTCTTGATGCCAAATAGTAGAGTGAAGTCATCGCTGTCTCATGATGATGGGCTTTTCATCTCAATATCCCTTGTTGTGAACACTGAGAAAGTAAGGGCATCCAGTGGGGGTCTCTATGCTTTTTGAATAAATTTATAGTGCTAAAAAATTTTTATACAGTTAATTTGTCAATAAATGCCACCGACTCAACTAGTTGGGATTGAGGGGCTTATGTCTCATGATGATAACAACACTATAAATTAGAGAAGCAGAATTCAATAGGAATCAGGAAATACATTCTATACCACCAATTTTGAATTTATATCAAATTCATCTTCATTTATTAAAAAATCTTGAGGATCTCTGGAGCTGGACAAAAAAGTAAACTTCTCTATGTTAAGGCATTGATATTCATGTCATGTGTAGTTTCCTTAAGTGAATGTAGCAGTAGTAAGAAAATCTAGGCAGTCTAGGCACTAGGGGAGCCTCCACTGTCTGTCTAGCCCCTAGCGCTTTCTATAACATTCAATTACTCACCCATCGTTTATGCATTAAGGTATAGGTTTCCTTCATTGTCATCTGAGCTAGTGTACTCTTTGTTTTTGGTTGAAGGTAAGGAGGTAACTAATACTCTCTTTACTCCTCTGGCTGTCTCTCTCTCCCTCCCTCCCTCTCTCTCTCTCTCTCTGTGCAATGGGCATGAGTTCAATTGAGAGTTCTCTTAATATTGGACTGTGCTCTTGAAACAGAGTTGAATTTTGATTTTTGAGAGTTTTCTACTTCTCTTAAATTCAGTACGTGTTCATTGGACAGAGTTGGAGAAAGTCCATTTTTAGAAAAAATTGATTATAGATGTGTAATTTTATGAGTTATTAAATGTTTTAATGATGAGTATAATATGATTAGTTTACTACTATACTACTACTTGTACAATTGTCTCATAAGAATTGTACTTCTCATATCTCATTGCAAAATCTGATTTTTATCTGTCCGCAACACTTTGTGAGAAAGTGATACTTCATTTATTTATAAGAAAAAGAGGGTTACCTTACTTTGATGTGCTTTTTCACTTAAACAAGTTTATTAATATTATAAAATTACTACTTATAGACTTTTTAGTTGCTATGGGCTGCCAATGTGCTGGAAAGTAGTGTCAAATTCTGGATTTGAAAGTAATTTGTGTTTGCATATAAATGCAATATGTGCAGTACTCTTCCTACATGCATCTTTTGTTTTTCCTATCCTTATTAAGCAGTCTTAATCCTTAAACTGACCAAATCCAAGTTTTTTTATTATGTATAGATGCATTATATTGGATTTGTTGATGCCGATGATATGAATGTTGTGTCTGGGAAGAGAAATTACACAAGTGTAGTGGGATACTCAGGCAGTAAACTTGCACAGGCACGTGTTTTGAAACTGGTTCTTACTTAACACTTCTTAATCCACTTGTTTCTTTCTATGATTTCTTCACCATCATTATGTGCAGTCAAGCTGAAACTCTATAAAAACTGTGTGTAGTATAATTTCATTGTCAACAAGGAGAGGTAACATGTGCTATTATAGCTTATCCTTTGTTATTTCTCTAGAAAAAAGCTTGAGATCATCGATGGTAGGTCCTAAAGCTAGCCTTGCCCTAGAGCATTGGTAGGTTAATCGCTGAACATTATTCACGTGGCTCCTCATTGGCGTATGTTGGTGATGCATTTGTGGGCAGGACATACCAGTGGTGCCGACCCAAGGAGTTGTGCAACATCAATTTGGTTATAGTATTATTTTAATAAGGCTACAGTTGAATTTGTGTTGTGCTACTCCTTGGGAAGGTGCCGCTGGTACGTCCTGCCCACAAATGAATATGTAACATTACTCAATTGTTACAAACATGTAGGGAAGAAGGAGGATTTATGTAAACTGTAATTCCCTGTGGTTTCTCATTCTCATTCTCATTCTCACTCACGCTCACTCTCACTAGGGCCGTAGGCATGAACATAAAGCCTCAAGTTTGTGGCCCCCAATTTTTTACAGGGAATACAGGCTATGCTTGCCTGTATACCATAGCCCAAGCACGTTGTTTCTGTCAGGCATTTTGCAGGCCACATGTACTTGGCCCATGATTTGGTCTAATTTCAACTAGGAGGGTATATATAGCTATTACATAGAGCTGAATACTAATATGAAGTAATTAACTTAATGAGTACTAAAGTAATTAGCAGTACTAAGATTTTCCAAATAATGAATACTTTCAAATGATGAATGCTTTCAAATAATGAATACTTCCAAATAATGAGTACTTCAATAATTATTATAGGAGTATTTATTAAAGTAAGGTTGCAATTAAATTGCTATTGCACTACTTTTTTGGGCCGACACCATAGGCACGTCCTGCCCACAAATGCAAGTGAAGTTTTCTAGAAAGGGTACCAAAACTCACTTATTTTCCCAATTTAGAACCCCTTCTTTTGAATTCCCGTAATAACAATTTTTTTGTTCTTCTCTTCTTAATTTAACCCCAACCCATAATCCCTAACCTTTCACCAAATTCTCCTTCTCATTCTCTCTCTTATTCTCATTCTCTCTCTCTCTCTCTTTCTCTCTCTCATTCTCATTCTCATCTTTGTCCTCCTCGCCCTCACCCTCTCCCTCTCCCTCTCCCGCTCTCCCTCTCGCTCTCCCTCTCACTCCCACTCTCACTTGGGTTGTAGGCGTGAACACATAAAGCCTCAAGTTTGTGGCCCTCAATTTTTTACGGGCTAGGCTTGCCCGTATACCAATGGCCCTAGCGCGTTGTTTCTGTTGAGCATTTTACATGCCACATGTACTTGGCCCATGATTAGGTCTAATTTCAACTAGGATAGTATATATAGCTATTACAGAAAGCTGAATACTAATAGGAAGCAATTAACTTAATGAGTACTAAAGTAATCAACAATATTAAGACTTGCCAAATAATGAATACTTCCAAATAATGAGTACTTCGATAATTATTATCGGAGTATTTATTAAAGTAAGGTTGCAATTAAATTTGCTATTGCGCTACTCCTTGGGCTGACACCATAGGCATGTTCTGCCCACAAATGCAAGTGAAATTTGCTAGAAAGGGTACCAAAACTCACTTATGTTCCCAATTTAGAATCCCTTCTTTTTAATTCCCGTAATAACACTTTTTTTCATTCTTGTCTTCCTAATTTAACCCCAGCCCATAATCATAGCCCCATCTTGTCTTTAAACAGGCATTGTCTGTGGATTAATGCCTTGGATGGTCAAGCTTCTTGTTTATAGAGTAGCAATAAACCAAGGAAAGTAATAAATAATGGTGTTCTTTGCTTTTGTCTTATGACACTAGTGCTGTAGTTAAAAACAATTTTCCTATGAATGTATCAAAGGAGCTGAAAAATAAAATTCAGGACATACAGTATTTAGCATTATATCCCAAAAACTGCTTACTCAAAAAACAAAATGTCACGTACCATGTCATTGGTAACTAAAATGATGTAATGTTTAATTTAGGGTAAAACACCCAGCAAACAAACTAGGATATTATACTACACTAAATGTTCAGTACTCATAACCCACAAAACCAAAAAAATATAAGGGTCTGTTTGGAGACCAAGAAAATGTGTTCAGGAAAATGATTTGTTTTCTTGAAATCGTTTTCCTTTTCTAATGTTTGGGTGAAAGTCTCAAAATGGGATATTCCTGTTTGGCTAGTTTCTGGGAAATGCATACTCTAAAAGAAGAAGCACACAATCAATCTTCAATCAATACTAGAAAAAATTGAGACAGAGGTGAGTCGGGAGGAAATCTCTACAACTCAATTGCCCAAATCAACAAAGGAAAGAAGGTCGGGACGGTGGTGAGCACCTCATCTCTGACTGCAAAGTTGAAGAGTACCTCATGGACGAAAGAATGCATATGGTGAAATTTATTCAGCCCTAACCTCGATGATGATGATGGGGTAAATAATCTTGGTTTGGAGTGCTGGAGATGAGGGGGCGGTGGATCAAAGAGCAAAGAGAAACGAAAAGGAAAGAGCGAAGGAGATGTAGTAGGGAGAGAGAAGAGAAGAACCGGAAAATGACTTCCGAAATATTTTGGGGTAAGTCAAATTCCATTTTTGAGGGCTCATTTTCCATTTGACCTGAGGTTATTTTCTATACTGTGTTCTCTTCCATATTTTTGTGCAGGTGGAGCCGGGGGTCTCTTGGAAACAGCCTCCCTACTTCCGAGTAGGGGCAAGGTCTGCGTACACACACCCTCCCCAGACCCTACTGATGTGGGATTCAACTGGGCTGTTGTTGTTGTTGCCTGAGCTTATTTTCCTTTGACTCCGGTTTTCCATTCTAGCCAAACACTAGAAAATGTGGAAAATGATTTCTAGAAGTCATTTTCCTCCTTCCCAAATGGACCCTAAGTTCATACAAAATTCCAAAATGTTTCATGCTCTAATGGCAAGAAAGGTCTTCAGTTTATAAATTTTATGCTTTTAGTCTAATAGTTACCACTAATAGTTACTGATTTTTTTCATTTAAAATATTAATATTATTTATTGTGTATATATATATATATATATATATATTTGCTTTTTTTGGTTCGCCATTTGACCGCCCGCCACTCGCCACAAAAAACATCCGCTCGCCCGCCACTCGCCACTCGCCATTCATAACTATGGTCAACCGTCATTCCCATCATCAAGTACTTAGTCATCTTAATCACAAACTTCCCACAACTTGTCCAAAATAACATTCTAATACTATTAGTGATTGTCCATCAACTTGTTATGCCTATCTTTCATAACTAGTTATACCAAACATGTACGCTTTTTCCCTCACTCATCATTCTGTTGGGAACAATTTTCTACCATCTCAATTCCTAGCACATCATCCCCCACATATTAATATCAAACACATATTAGGACGTTAAAGAAGAATAATGTTAAGACATTTTCTCTTACCCCTAATGTTCAACACTGAACACATATCAAGGCATTAATGTCAAGCACATATCTGGACATTACATAAAAAGAATGTTAATTTACTTTCTCTTCAACCTATTGGCAAAGAAATGTCTTAGGTATTACTGTCGAACATATATCTGGAAATTAAATAAGAACAATGTAATGTCGAACTCATATCTTGCACTAATGTCAACATATATTTGAGCATTGAAAGAAGAAAAATGTTAAGAGATTTTTCTCAGATCTAATGTCAAACACATATCTAGGCATTACAGAAGAACGATGTTAAATTACTTCTCTTAGACCGAATGCCAAACATACATATGTGCATTAATTTACGGAGTCTCAAAATATGACAATCCTCAAACCCTAATTTCCTCTCAAAACATCTGAATTGCAGAACAATAAACCTTAAAATCCTTGATTCAATGTCCTTGTTAGTTGCAGCAAAATCCCAACCCCAGTCACAGATACCATGGCATTAGTTTCACAATAATGCCCGTACATCGCATATTACTGCACAAACAAAGAAATTGAAAAGCAATACTTCGTACGCAGTTTCAACGGTTTACAAGTCTGTTCGTCAATTTTCAAAGCATCTCATCGGATGGGCCTTGGACGAAATCTGTATCATCTTTTGTCACACCTTTCACCACCACTTTTTCTTGGGATGGAGCTCTATGTAAGCGTAACCGTGGGTGTTGAAGGACGGACTTCAGATCGACTCAGAACAGTTCTCTTTCTTTCCTTGTAGAACTCCGCATGCAGGTGGATATATGTCTGCCAATGTCTTCTGTTTTTTACACTTGTTCTTGACTGGGTTAATTTCTGCATGTTTTTTGTTCCATCATGTTGCATGTACGTGTTTCTCCATCCATAAACTCTTCATAAGTGATGGCTCAAAGCTGTTCCTGCGAAGTTCAAAATCTTATGGCTGTTTTTGGTATTAAAATTGCAGGTTATGTTTAGCAGCGTACTTCATAAGAGATTGCCAGCTGAAGCTGGCGTAGATATAATATGTGTCTCTCCTGGGATCGTTCAAACCAATGTTGTAAGTTCCTAAGACATGTCCTTTGCAATACTCCTTGATCCCATCTGCTATTTTACATGTGTATAATTCACAGGAAAAATATCGTGCCATTGGATAACCCTCAGTCCCATATGGCTTTTGTACCTCTTTTGTGCTACATGAGCCATTATTATTATTATTATTATCATTATTATTCCTAATATTAATATTATTATTCTTATTGTTGTTGCTCTTAATATAATTATTGTTATCCTGTACACTTGTCTACGATATATTTTTCGTCGTTGCTTCTCAATTTTCACTTGGTAACAGCCTCTCTACTTTTAGTAGGGGTAAGGTCTGCGTACACACAGTCACATCCTCCTTTTTTGCTTCTCAATTTTCTTCTTTGGCGACACAGATTAGCCATCGTTACTCTGTTCGTCTTCGCCGGCAACAGATGTTGTAGACAATTTTGTTGGATCCGACTCCCTCTGTCTTAGCCGGCAACATATGTAGGAGATATTTTTTTGGATCCCATGGAGTGTTGGACACAGATGTGTTAGATATCTCCTTTCTTACACCCAAAAAGTAAGGGTATTTTTGTAGCTTCCTCCATTGATGGACCCCTGTTTGATGTGTAGAAATGAAATGTGGATGAATACATAGGGACAACCCAAAAAGGAATATTGGACAAAAAGTTTGGGATGGAGGGAGTATGTTGCAAATCACAAAAATTACTTCCACTCAAATTGGCTGTCAATTTGATCTGTAAAAATCACTTCTTTCCTTTGACTTCATCCCTAGTGCCACATGATTTGCTCACATTTATACCTCTGAATTATTGTTAAAAAAAGGCCAAGTGCAAATAGGACAAAAAGGAGAAAGGCGTGAGCATCTGTATAAGTCTAAAGAGCATGAAGATAGCTATTCCATTCTTTAATGCAAAATTTAAACTGATTATATGATATGTTAATAATTAATGGTAAGAATGGCAAGCTAACACTCAGGATATTCTCAGGCAAATCTAACCCCATGTTCTGACTTGATTCTAGTCAAACCTTGAGCTTGATGTAGTAATGCAGTATTGGTAATTTGGTAGTGATTAAAAGGTGGCCATGGCGGCCACCTGGCAATCTCTTGCCACCTTGATTTTGCCCTCATAGGTCAAGGGCGGTCAGCTACTTAAGTTGTCAAAGGCAATATCGAATCGGCCTAGGTGCTTCCTGGGTTGTTTTATTTCATTTTATAACACTAAGCTAGCCTTAGTATTTTTGAGGTAAAAAGGGCGACTATCATTAATTCATACTCCCTCCGTCCATAAAAGAACTTCCCACTTTCTATATTTGGTTGTCCACAAAAAAACTTCCCATTTCCTTTAATGGCAAAATTTTTATCTTAAAAAGACACTACTACCCTTATCACCCTAAACTATTAACCCAGTCTATCCACATTTCTGGTGCAAGTTTCTCTCTCATCCTCCCCACCACTCTTTCTTACGGAGTAATTTATTCAACATCTTCTCTCATTAGCCTCTCAATCTTCAAATTCTTCTCTATTTCTCTCCTTTGTCTCGATCTTCTCCCTTTCTCTCTAATTTTTTTTGGTTAATTTCATCATATCCGATCCAAATGGTAAATTCCTTAGATCGGAATAGATCTCCGTCGGCAGCTTCTCCATTATTTCTAATTTGTATTTACAATTTTCAGATCTATTCTTTTAATATGCCAGATGAAGGGGAAGATCTAGATGGAGGTTCGTCGGCGGGCGTTCAACCCGTACAGGAAGGAGGGAGGTTGTAGTTATTGGGTAGTGTGTAGGGAGGAGTCGGTGAAGACCGAAGGGGGTTGGGATGGAGGGGATTGCAGGTCTGTGACGGCAGCGGGTGGGGGACAGTGGTGTCGAAGAGTGGTCGGCGGTGAACCTCCGCCGGCATTAGCAACAGCTGTAGATGGCTTATGGCGGGTGGAGAGGACAAATATGTTGAGGGGTATAATGGGAAAGTCAATACAATTTTCATTACACATAAATTTGCGTGCCCGGTCAAACCGGGAAGTTCTTTTATGGACGGAGGGAGTATAATTTAGCACAAAGTCTAGGGGAGTTGTGAAAACTCATTTGCAGAGCATGGTACGAAAGATAAGAGGATCCCTTTATCAATCTTTTTGACAATGGATATGCAGTCATTCAAAATCAAACTGTAGTATTTCAAAAATTCTAATTTATAATATTCCATCACAAAGCCATGGAACCCTTCCACCTCCGAGCTATAAACAAGATCTTTACTGTGATATAGATGTAATCGCAAAGGATGAACCAGATCTTCACTCTACCACCTTCTAGAACACTAAGTGTTGACCTCAGACGTCAGCAATTTTTCTGAAATAATGAGGATTTTAAAAATCCCCAAGAAGTAAAAGGGGGCAATGGTATGCTGTTCAAATATTTGTCGATTAGTTTTTAAATTGTTCACTTCTACACTCACTAAGAAGCTGGTGTTTCTAGATTGATATTTTTTATTTGAAACTCTACAGCTATGTTATATGCACCAAGTTGCTCAGAATTTGGACTTGAGTTTGGATCACATTTATGAACTTAGGTATATCAAGAAAAAATGTGTTTGTGATCGAAATATAAAGTTTAATGTTATTTCTCTGAAGATGACTTTGAAACTAAATAGTGTTTTCAACTAAATTTTTAAGTATCATTATTCGAATTTGATCTGTAAAGTAGTTTTAACACTTTTGGCTTACTCTCTGTACAAACTACTTTGAAAAGGTACAAACTAGTTGCATTTTGTTTCCTGGAGAATATAGTCTGCAAAGTGAAAAAGGGTATGCTGAAAGTGTCTTCACCATTATTATTTTGTTTTGCATGGTGTATCCGGCAAATCTGTTTATTTGCAAATATGATTACAACAATGCAGATTATTGCCTTCCCAAGTTTTTATTCAATGTTTCCTTATTCGTAGTAATCATTGCGATGTACGGAGTACGGGAGTAGTGATTTGAGATCATTACATAATACTCTGTATAACATTTATGTTTTCAACTCATGATGCAGGCAAGGGATCTTCCTAAGATCATTCAAGCAGCATATCGTTTGATACCCTATTTTATTTTCAATGCCGAGGAAGGTCACTATCTCACCTCTTCCCAATTCAATTCATTATTAGTACCCTCTTGGCCTCTTCCCAATTCAATTCCTTACTAATACATGTCAGAAGATACTTTTGCAATCTGTATTTGTGTCGGCTGGTTATTACACACCTTCTAAAATTGGGGAAAGAACCAAGAAGACTACCCTTCAAATTTGTTAAGGGATGACTTTTCAAGAAAATGACACACATTACCTATATTAATAAGTTGTTGCAACAAAATTTTGCGGAATCTTAGGTTGTCTATCCACAATGCATGACAAAAACAGCTTAACGTGATTTAGAAAAGGTTTACTTAAGGGAAGAAGGATTAAATTCAATTCTTCCCGTATTGATTTTTAAAATAGTGACACAATGAGCCCCCATGAATCAGAAAGATGTGTAATATGTCATGCATTATATAATCAGCATTCCTTCTCTAATCTGCCATAGTAATTGAAACATGCTCCCACAGTGCATTTCTGCATATCCTTGAACAAATGACCTGTTTCTTGGCATCCTACACAGAATCTACAATTCCGATTACAACCATGCTAGGTGTACCCCAAAGTTTGTATCTCAAAATGTATCTCAAAGGTTTACACTTACATTTTGATTGTTTACATTGACACAAAATGTCAGTGCGATTGCAAAATTTCAGACTGATATTTTGTGTCAATGTAGGCATCAATCTCGCACTTACATTGACACAAAATGTAAGTGTAAACCTTTGGGGTACATTTTGAGGTACAATCTTTGGGGTACTACTAGATTTATCCTTCCGATTAATCAGGAATGCCCGTTGCAGGTTCTAGAAGTTCACTTTTTGCTGCCACTGATCCTCAAGTCTCCGAATACTGCGAGATGCTGAGAGCAGAAGAGTGGCCAGTGGGTGCATTCCTTTCCCACGACTGTCGCCCAACTAATCCATCCGAAGAATCGCACAATCTCGAGACGTGCTCCAAAGTGTGGGAGAAGACATTGGAACTGGTTGGCCTTCCTCCAGATGCAGTCGAGAGGCTCATCGGGGGGGACGAGGTTGAGTGCAAATATGGAAAATCAGAAGATTAGGTCTGGTATGTCTTCTTCACCTTGAGGGTTTGTTAAAGAAAAGAGAAAGGAACAGATAGCCCTTGTGCACATGGATGAAACTTGCATGATATATATATCAATCTATAAAAGCTCTTTTTAGGTTGTTTTTTTCCCTAAATCGAAAAAAGCTCTTTAACTCTTTTTTTTGAACTATTACTGATATAGACGTTGGGAAAATGATGAAAAAGTTAAACTTCACGGGCTTCGCTTTTGAGCTGAAACAATTTGAGTGGATAAGTATACTTTGGTTATTTTGACACTGGGGCAGTGTCATTCTATGACACTGGTCTATTTGAGAACTCTAAGGTATTTCGTTCGACGCTGATGGTTTCTGTCCCATTTAACCATCCCACCCAAGCCCCCCCCCCCCCCACAACCGAATACCCTAGCGCTCTAGCACCCCCCCACCCCCCGAATTTGGTTGATATAAAATTGAATGAAATGTCAAGGGGTGGGCTATGGGAGGTTGGGGTGGTGGGTTAGCGGTGGGTTGGGAGTGGAGTTAGAGTTAGGGGTGGGTGGCAACCATTTATACATAGTATTGTAGAGTGTTCAAATAGACCCGTTTTATAATATGACATTGGCCGTGGAAAAGATCAAACTGGTGTCTTTGTGATGTGTTTTGGGCATGTCAAAAACCAACCTTTTGCGTTTAGATTAAGGTAGTGTTTTGTTCAACTTATTTTTTCCGCTTATTACTTATTCTTATTATAATCAGATCACATCAAAAATAACTTTAATTATAATTGCAATCGGATCACATTTTCAAAAAATCATATAAGGCAAACAGAACGCGGCCTAAGTCTAAATAACGGATTGAATTCGTCTTTGAGTGGTGGGTAAGTGACTTTGAGAGTGAAAGAGTTGTCTTAACATTTAAGTTAACATGTCATTAAGCACGTTGTTCATTAATTAACATGTTAGATGGCTTGGCTCATGATCCCACATGCGCGCTCTTCAAACCAAGCTCAGAAATGTTAAAAATGAGATCGGTTCTGTACAAAATTTACGTATTGGGCTTTTTTTGCAGAGTACTTGTGCATTAAAAATCATGCAAAATTATATTTTTAATTACTTTTATAACACTTTGGGTTTTGAAATAAAAATTTATACTAAATTTGAAAATATCAAGTAATTAGAATAATGAATATCTAACAATATTAGACCCTAAAAGTTTGAGGTCCTATGCGGGTGCATACTTTGTACACCCTTTGGGCCGCCATGCTTCAACCCCGGCATGGCATGGCTCAGGTCGCGTGGATGAATGTCTATGATTGAAGCCGACCAGTTTATAGTATGCTAAGACCTTGTTCTTTTCAGTTAAAAAAATAACTTTCAAATCTTATTTTCATACAACTTCTAATTCTTTCTAATTCCTTATAGTTTTTTTAACAATTTGAAATACTCCCTCCGTCCTCCAGTTTTTGTTCACTTTTGACTTTTGCAACTGTTCATCTAAGCACTTTGACTCATCAAATTATCTCAATGTAAGCCTAAATATAGTCATGTATGATATTCTTTTAACATATAGATTATTAATATATAATTTCTATAATTTTTTAATATAAAAATTACAAGATAAAATAGATTAAAGAAGTGCATTGGATGGTGTGTAAAAATGAAAGTGGACAAAAACTGGGGGACGGAGAGAGTATATATTTATAAATAATGAATATACAATAATATTTTATATCCAAATTTATAACATATTACTTCAAATACAGACAATGATGAAATTTTTATATTTAAAATTAGAATTTTTTTACATATTTATTTGGATAATTATTTAATTGAGTGATTTTTAAATAGTTTAATTCTTCTACTGTAATATTTTTCAACTTCTTTCAAATTTTTTAACTCTTTTTAGTTTTTTCTAACATCCAAATATGAAATTTTAACCAAAAAAGGCCTAATTAGGAAAGGGAAAAAGAAATGGTTGGCATAATAATTTCTCCTAAAATATATTTCTAATCGTTCCAATTTATCTAGTTCACTACCTTGGAGCGAAATGATTAAACAAACCATTATGTGTCACTCTCCCATAATACTTAATCTTGTCCCAAAATAATCATCGTGTTCAACTAGTCTTCGGTCAAACTTTTTTTCTTTATGTACTTATTTTTGTCATTTACAATATTCCTCCCACAATGGATACACACTCTAAACAACATGTAAAATCTATTATTTTTAAAATTATTTTAGTTATAAATACATATAGAAATAAAAAGTATAGATTATACTGTTTAAAAATATATCAAAATTTCTACAAAAAATAAGTGAGAAGAATATTTTATTTTATCAAATAATCAATGAAATTGCATAGGAAACAAAAAACTATTGAGCAAGTGTAATGACGATAGTGACATCTATTTAAGGACGGAAGAAGTATATGTTAAAACGAAAAGTTTCCGTTGACACTAGCATTTAGTGTCAACGAATGACATTTGGTCATTTCGAACTTCTCCAGTGCTCCAATTTAAAAAATTTATTGTTCTTATCTTTCTACCCTCCTAAACCCCCCACCGCAACTTACCCCAACCCATTCTTGCACCCCAACTCTTGATTCCCTTCTTACCCCCTACAAATGTGTGGCTATTATACACTGCACAATAGCCACACATTTGGAGGGGGTATGAGAGGATCAAGGGTTGGGTGTAGGGGTCGGGCTGGGGTGGGATGCAGTGGAGGGTTTAAGGAGGGATTAGGAGATATGAACCATTAATTTTACGAATAGAGCCCAGAAAGAGCTTCAAATGAACGAGTGTCATCCGTTACACTGTTATACAGAGTCAACAGAATCTTGCCAATGTGAAAATAACATAATAATATCATTTTGTAATTTATACTGCAAATTATTTGATGTAGTTATACAAATTCTATTTTAAAATAAATTATAATTAAAATAAATTGAATTAAAAATAAACCCAATTAAATCTCATTATTCAAAAGAGAACAATAATTTTGAAAAAGGATTGAGTAAATCTACTCTTTGACCCCTTCCCCCTACATACTCCGTATATAGTAGCAACAACAGCCTTTTCTCTTATTCGGTCTCAGTTCTTACTATGCAAAGTATGCATATGCATATATGTAGGTAAAAGTTTTTTTTTCTCTTTTCTACCCCTTTCTCTCTCTTCCCACAAAGAAACTCACAAACACCATTTTTCCGATTTAACCCTTCTTCTTCTCCATCCCCAGAACTTAAAAGAACCAGGTAAGAAAATAAAAAAAATTTCTGATTATTGCATTTCTTCTGAAAATTCAAGCATTTCTTTATCAAGAAAAACAAAAGATTCTTTTTTTCTTTCTTGGGATTATTATTTATATATGGTACTTATTTAACGTATAGTAGAATGTTTGTTTTTGTGTGTTTGGAAATTGAATTGGGTAGGCCCTGTTTGGTCTCTGCTAGGAATTAATGGACACAGAAATTGAAGAACAAGAAAATGAAGAAGAAGAAGAAGGGCAAATTATTGTGGAGACTTGTTTTTCCTCTTCTTCATATCATTCAACAAAGAGGGGTAGCTTTGGAAAACCTTCTTGGCTTCTCTGCTCTATTGCAGGTATTTAAATTCCACATTTTTTAATTTGTCTTGTTTTTCCTCTTCTTCATATCTTATTTATGATATATGTCCAATTTAACCATTATTTTAGTCAACATCACATGTTGTGTTTTTTTAATTTATTTTCACACGGTTAAGGATAGAAGTGTTAAAAAGTGTGAATTTAACAAAAAAGAGGTGTTTACTTAGCAAAACCCAAATTATTTATGATTTTTTTGTGAGACATGTTTTAGTAACACTAACTTTGACAATAAAGATGATAGTTTGTACACAAAATATAATTGGTCATGAAGGCACAATAAAGATTATATGTGTACAAATTTTTAAATGATTTCAAAATTAATGGAATCTTTGACTTCATTTGATATACAGAATTCAAACTATTAAATTAAAATTAGAGAAAATAATTTCAATTTTACCCTTTGGTAGCACAAAAATATATGGGTTGAAAATTGGTAATGCAAAAAAATTAATTAGAATTTGAGAATTCAATTTCATTTATGTTATGTTTGGGAACATGGATTCGGATTTCAAATTTGGATTTGGCTCAAATTCCATGTTTGGAAAATTTAAAAATTTTGAATTTGGATTTGAGTCAAATTCTTCTCATTCATAACAAAGCTTAATTTGAAATCCATGCACCTCCCCTTGTTATTTGAAATCCATGCACCTCCACTTGGAATTGAAATGCATGAATTGAAATGAAATGAGGTAGTGTTTGGCAACTAGCATTTCATTTCAATTCATGCATTTCAATTCCAAAATTTGAAATCCTGAATTTCAAATGACAAGGGGAGGTGCATGGATTTCAAATTAAGCTTTGTTTTGAATGTAAAGAATTTGATTAAAATCCAAATTTAAAATGCTTAAGTTTTCCAAACATGGAATTTAAGCCAAATCCAGATTTGAAATCCAAATCCATGTTCCCAAACATACCATAAATCAATTCCATAGAATTCTAATTCTATCAATTTTGTGTACCAAACGGACCCTTATATTTCCCTTTATTTTAATGATGGTACGGAGGATATCAGAGATATGGTCATATGGATGGGGCGAGAAAGTGTGTGAGGGTTAATAAGGAGTGGTCGCTTTCTTCCCTTCCACACTCTATATAGCACAGTAATTTACTGTCAATAAGGGACACGGTAAAATACCTGTGGGACACAGTAAAACAGTTTGAGTGAGTTTTTTTTTACCATCTTCTTTAACTCCAACAGGTGAAATTTCTGTTTCATCTTTTCAAAAATTTCAACTCATATGGCAGAAGAAGAAAAGAAGAAAACTCCAAAATTACCTTCCCTAAACAGAGCACAGTACAGCTGCTGAAAACGATTCTTCCTTTTCATCATCTTTCTTTCTTTTTTTACTGTGGCCCGACAACATGTTAATTACTGTCCTCGGGAGTTGGGACAATAATACATTGCACCCGAATTATTCTCTTCCTGTTAAAATTCCGGTGGGCCGAGAACAACGGATAGAGAGTCGGGTAAAATTAACGACTTGCACATAAAGTCGGGATCCACAATTCTAACCCAAAAGCTTAAGCTGGTTGGTAGGGCTTCACCGTTCTATATATGCTAGTGATACTCATCTTTATTTTCCGATGTGAGAACTCCAACATTTCCCCCTTCAAAATTGTGGTTGGTTTGATGTTTTTAATTTTTTTTATTCAAATGTTGAAAAAAAATTGAAAAATAAAAACTAAAATGTGGTGGTTGAATTTTGTTTGGAAGAAAGAAAAATATTGTGGGTTACATATTTTTAACTTTAATACTCCCTCGATAGGTTAACTCGATAGGTTAAGGTAGATGCGATTGGTAGGTTAGTAGTGAAAAAGTGTGATGCGATAGGTATGTTAAGAATTAGTAAGGATAAAAAGTGACTTGTTAATAGAAATGAGAAAAAGTTTTTTGGGACGCATGAAAAAAGAAATGAGAAACGTTTTGTGGGATGAAGGGAGTAGTTACGTAAAAAGTGGGATAATCATTTTGAGACAGATTAAAGAGAAAAAAAATCAAAATTTGACAAATACTCAGGGCTGGAGATAGTACTCAGGGCTTGGCCCTCTTGTTATTGTAGACTATGATCACAATGGAGATCCACATATATATGTTCTCAGCTTTTAATTTTTTTAAAAGGAACTTTATTCCTTTGGCTGTGGGCCACATTTTTTTGTCTTGTTTATGGCACTTTTTGGTAGATTACTTTCGAAATTTGGGGTTATAATATGAATGCACCCCAAAGTCCAAAGATGCACACTCAATTATCCAATGAGTCTCCTTGGGGTCCCAAAAAAAAGGTGTCAATAATTTCACAACATGGCCAAATCTCTTTTTGGTCTTGTGCCAATCATTTTTCTCCAATGCAAAATTTTGAATGCAAGTATTGGCAACAAACTAATTATAGTTTTATACAACTTTATTTTCTTATAATGTACATTCTCAACTTGTTTTCTAAATGTTTGGCATGAGGTAGATTTGGATGAGAGAATGAAGTTGATGGGGTTGAACTTGTTGGAAGAAGGGAACGACGACAGCGCGCACGACAGTTTCGCAAAACGTGCAGACTCGTACTACCAGCAACGCCCTCAGCTCCTGTCATTGCTCCAAGACCTGTACAATAGCTACCTTTCTCTGGCGGACAGTTACTGCCACTCGCTGGCGGCAAAGGCCCGCCAGCTCTCTCCCCGCCCGTTCGCAGACGAGGATCTCGAACGGAGGGAAGAGGAGGAGAATGGCGTCATCGATTCGTGCGATGACGCCGAGAGCTCCCTGTCTTACCAACCGCCGCCCCAGGTGAAAGCGGGCGACCCCCACATGATCGTCGCCGAGTTTGTGATGAGAGCGGTGGAGTCTGACATCATACTCCACGAGCTCGAGCTGGCCGAGAGGCGCGGGGTGGAGTCCTCAAGGAAGATGGAGCTGCAGAGGAGCCTCGTGGACGTGCTCGAATCCGAGAGGTTGATTCTACTGAACGAGAACGCCAGGCTCGGGTACTCTTACAACATATTTCCTCCCTTTGTTGTACTTTATTTTTTTCCGAGCAACTAGCGTTATTTTATGAGTTAATTCCATAAATTGTCACTTATAACAGGTAATTTTTCATATTTAGTATACAATTCTTAGATATTACATTCATGATCTTCCATTTAAAAAAAACTATTTCATAATACGGTGGGGTTCTAGTGACACTGGAGTATGGTGAAACTAGCGGTGTCATTGCATTTTTAGAGCTCCTCCGGTGCTTTGTTTGTAAAACTGACAATTGCTACCTCCTAACCCACCCTCTAAACCCCCACCCTACCCCTGCCGTAAGCCCCCACAGAATGTGTGGCTATTAGGCCTTAATTACCTATTGTGGGACATTTTTCAAAAATTGAGGACCACGAATGTAATATCTTAGAATTGGAGACTAAATTTGAAAAAAAAAACTTATTATAAGGGACCATTTATGGAATTTACTCTTGTTTTATTCTCTAGTCTTTTTTTTTTTTTTTCTATTTCAGCTCATCATTGTTTTACCAGGTACCAAGTCTCTGGGCTGGTGGAGGAGAACAAGGGGCTGGCGTCGGAGTCGGCCTTCATGAAGAGGAAGGCGGCGGAGCTGGCGCGGTGCCTGCTGAAGATGAGGGAGGACCACCGGGTCTTCGTGCTGAGCCGCAAGCTGGAGGATCTGCAGGGCCAGATCCACGGGCTCGAGCTGCGGAACCGCGAGTACTACGCGCAGCTCGCGAAGCATAGAGACGAAGCCGAGAAGACGAAGAAGATGAAGAGACCTAAAGGGTGTTGCTTTCAAGTGAACAAGAAGAAGATGGTGGTTCAGCATGGGGGTTGTGGTGGCAGTGGCTTGGGCTTGTGGGGAAGGTTCATCAAGATGTTTGACTTTGACCTGTTTCATTGTGGGGCCCATTCAAATCCTTGAAANGTAGATGATAACACAAAACATATCAGCCAAAGTCATGATGATTTGATCTGATGTAGTGGGGAAAATGGGGTTTTGACATTTTCGTTTTGGGCACACTAATGGCCGGCAATTGCTTATCTATCCCCCAAGAATCTCTTATTGAAAGACAATATGATGCAGTTCAAATAACACTGGTGTCACGAAGGAATCGGATTGGTTTGACACTACACCCTCTCCCTATGAGCCCCACATTCTGGATTCAATGGAACACAATAAGACCCTCAAACGATTATATATTCAACCTTGTAGGGCATTCATTTATGTTGAAGATGATGAACCACACGTCCATGCACTACAAAAAAAAAAAAAAAAAAACTTTTCTATACATGTTTTTTTTTTTACTGGGTCTGTCAAAACAAAAAAGAGTGAGAATGTCCAATTCGGAGATTCAGCTTTTCTCCTTGACCTTAGCAACCCGAACCTGGAAAAGAGAAGGATGCCAGTGGATTGAATATGCAATGATAAGGCAACACATTAATGAACCATAAAAACTAAAGCCTTGTTTGAGAATATCGTTTTCAATCAGTGTTAGCATTTTATATAAAATTTTAATAATACAGGTTATTTTTGAAAATGTTATAATGGTAAAGCTAAGGGTCCGTTTGGTACACGGAATTGATGGAATTGGAATTGAATTGAAATTAGAATTCCATGAGATTTAATTCCATAGAATTGAATTCACCAATTTCAATTCATTTTTTGCACTACCAATTTCAAATACCCATAATTTGTGTGCTACCAAACACGAGAATTGGAATTGAAGTCCTCAATTCCAATTCCATAATTTGAATTCTGTGTACCAAACGGGGCCTAAATGTTGAAATTGTTACCAAACGCTCCCTAAGAAATAGAAAACAGAAGGCGAACCATATACTAAGATTTTGAGCGACGAATGGAGGGGTCTATATGCAAAGCCATTGCATAGGAATTCTCAGCATCATCAATTTGCCCCATAGCCATGAATGCATCCCCTTGGCATATATATGCCTGCAAAGCATAATTTGCATTACGAAAAAAAACATAAAAATGAGTTATGCACGGTTGTCGGGTACCCCCATTTTCGACACCAAAGTTGACACCAAAATACGCACACGGGATTGCCTGTAAAGAGTGTAGTGTCAAACTTGGGGTGGTAAAAAATGGGGTACCCCAAGTTTAATTCGGGTGTTCATTCACTTCATTGCCATATATGGGTAGGGCATTATTGCTTCTCAGTGTTTAACCCGAGAAACACGTTACAAATAATCTATCGCCAACTCCAAACATGCTAAATAAACAACTTACATCTGAATAAGTTGGAGCGATGCTAAGAGCCTTGTTAGCATCTTGAACTGCTTCTTCTAAGTCTCCCATTGCTAGTCTTGCAATCGACCTGAATGTGCACAAATTTTGCTCACGACGAAAACAAATTATACACCCTACGTCCTTGAGTATTTGTCCACTTTGACTTTTTTTATCAAAATTGGTAAACTCTGACCTCAAATTAAATAAAAATGATACCGGAGTATTAGATATTGATACAAAAAGAGTTTTATTAGATTTACTAAATCAAATATTTTCAAAATATTATTTTATTTAATTAAAATACAATATATATTTTATTTAATTATAGGTCAAAGATTGAAAACAGTTGACCGAAAAAAATCAAAACTGGACAAATACTCAGAGACAGAGGTAGTATATGTTAAGAGCGATGCAGTTTGATAATAATGGATCTTATTGAATAACGAAAGTTCCTTCCTTATATGTATAGGGAATACAAAGAGAATCTCAATCATAGTAGAATAACCAAGGTAACAATAGAATAAGAAAAATAAATAATAATATTCCTATTGAGGAGACATGATATATTTGCCCGATATGACACAACAAGGATGGACGGATGACCATTTATATCGTCAAAGAACAAACCAACCAAAAACTGGGTGTAGGCCGACGACAAGTTTTTAAATTCTAGCATTTACCCTCAAAAATACGAAAGAGCGGATTTAATGACTACCGACGATATCGGATATTAGGCGATTAAGAAAACACAAACCTGTTTTTATATGAAATGTGGAGACCACCAAATGGTTTTAGATCAATAGCCTGCACAACAAAGAAAACTGCAGAATCATTGATTTTTTATGTACCACTCGAGTATGAGAAATGGAGACAGCCAACCAAATGGTTTTAAATAGAAATCAAAGAGTAACAAACACTGACTTATTTCCATTGTTAAATTCCAAAAATGCCAAACAAATTATTCATCAATAAAAAGAGCTTAGTTTCTAATAAAACACTACATTATCTCAAAATGTTAACAAATTTACAGATATATAGTCCATACCACCCCGGGTAAATTACCTGAACTTTCACTGTAATTTTGAAGTGGTACCTGAATTTTAAATCTTTTCACAAAAGTACCTGCAATTACATAATTCTTTCACTAAAAGTCCATTTACTCGTTTCCAGGTTAACTTCCAATCATTTGAGCTAAATTAGAATTTTATATATTTTAAAACGTTCAATTTGACCCCATTTCTTTTTTTCTTCTTCTTCCCCCCTCCGACTCCTTTCTTTTTCTTCTTCCTCACCCCACTCCCCTCTGCACCTCCGCGAATAATACACTTATTAACATACGTCCACCTCTTTGGCGCCCTTAACCGTCTTTCTCCCCCATTTCATTCTCATAAATAAAAGAAATCATTAAGAAATATTTGCACCAAATAACACTAAACTTAAGTCATTTTTCTAAATAGCACTTAAATTATTTTATTCCCTAAATAGCACTTAATAATGTTCATAATGATCAGTGATGGCGAACATTTACTTGAATAATGACTAATAGATAATGACCAAAGTGCTACATTGGGAAAAAAACACAATGTAGTGCTATATAAGAAAAGTCATTATGTTTTAATGCTATTTACTTAAATTTCTCATCATTTAAACCCCCGGCCAGAACTTTCCGCCTGGCCAGCAAGAAATAGATCAGATCCCAGTCTCAACCATGTCCAAATATTCATTCTCCAAACTTCACCACAAGTGCTTGCCACTTGGGCTACCCGTGCGGGTATGTCCAAATATTCATGCCCAAACATGTCGGGGTCCAATTCCTGTCCAATAAAAAAAATTGTCTATATTGACTCTAAAAATATTAAAGGGTAAAATATTTTCACCTGAGACAGTAAATGGCATGCCTCGGAAAATTTACCCATGCCCATCTCGTCCTCAGCTCCCTTCCTCAAAACCAGTGCATCCAAACACTTCCTACTCTCATTCCCAGTGTCCCCACAGTCCGGGCCGAGGCAGAGGAACGACATCGTTTCGGCAGCGCGAGCGGGGGTGCCGCAGTGCTTGACAAGCACCGCATCGGGCAAGACGACGAGGTTCGGCCCGGCGCCGCATTTCCCGAGGCAGCCGGCGGCGGCGACGGCGACGTGAGGCGGAGCGATTCCGGACAGGACTCGAAGGGATTCGAGCGAGCCCTGCCTTCTGCACGCCCTGTTTGTACAGACTCTCAGCTCGATCTTCGTCTTCTTCTCGGCTTCTTCGGGTTGGAATTGGAGTGGGGATGATATGTGTGCCGGATTAGGTCTTGCTGGAGGTGAGATGGGACTGGAATTGAAGAGATTACAGTGAGAAGTTTGATGGATTTTGAGCTTCATTCTCCGATTTGTTGTTGTGGAAAGTCTGATTTGACCAAGATAAGCTCTTTGATTATAATGGGTTCACTTGGAAGACAGTCTCCAAGGCAAACATCCCAATGCAATCCAATAGTTTTGAAATCGAAGTCTAATGAATTCTAAAATGACATGCTTTTAAAATTTTGAAAATATTTTTTTAAGAAACATATGACTACATGAGATGATGAGAGTATGGTTTTTAGTAGGGTTGGACACGATTTCGGTTTGGTATCGGCAGCGGAATCGAAGCCGGCGGTTTTGAAACCAGAAAACGGCCCAGAACCGTGAGGTAAGCTTTCGGTTCTAGCTCTTAATTTTTGATACCGAAATCGCTACGAATTTGAAATTGGTTTGATTTTTTAATGTTTTTTGCTTTTTTTACTAAAAACTTTTTATTTTAAAAAATGAAATCGAGAGAGAACGGGGAACGCCCTTACATGGTATTGGTACCAAATCCCCAAAGAATGGGTCACGGTAGCAATAATTCCAGAACCAGAACTAGACTGAGCCCTTGTTATTAGTATTTCTTTTTTCGTCTCAAAATAAAATTTCTGATTTCCTTTTTTTATTGTCTCAAGTATAAAGTTCTTATTTTTTTAAACAATTAAATGAGTGATCTATACTAATTATCTTTCATCTAGTCATCTAGATCAATTCCAAACAAACAATTTCATTTTTTAAAACTTTGTGAAAAAATGAGAAGTTTAATTTTAGACAGAAAAAGAAGATAGGAGTGCTTGACAACATGAAATGGTCGACAACGAGTGTCAGCAAAACAAGGTTGATGATTCTAATAGATATCAAAGTCTCGCATTGATATTTTCTTGATACTCTTTAAACTTTGGGATAAAATACTCCAATATAAGAGAACTTTGATATCTAGATATATCTAATTTGAGCTCTATTTAAACTTTACTAAAACACTCATAAAAAGATTCTAAAATTAATTGATATTACAGAGTATGAGTATAATATATGGAGCATATGTCTTCTTATACGATCGTACTCTCGAAACGAAGCCTAAATTGAATTAATTGGAAACACAATTAACTATAATACACCATTCTAATCCGACCTAAATTGATCTGAAGTTTAATTGAATAAACCACAATCTAGCGTGGCCAAATCTTTTCATCAGCATATATATTTATATATATTTATACATTAGAAACGAATGATAAGAAAAGAAATATAATTATAATCTTATATTTATAATATTATACTTCATATTAAAATATATGATTTCCAACATTTCTTACATTAGCAGGTCAGTTCGGTCGCTTTCGGACTCGATCGTGTTTGACTCTTTTTTAACGGGTCATTTTTGAGTTTCGTCAATTTTGACTTCGATTATCAAAAATGTTGTTCAAAATCTACTATTTCGGATTATTTTTTGACATGTTTATTTCTACTTTCTAGTTCTAGGGTAGAGTGGGTTTGGCCTCGTTTGACATTAGCATTAGAGATTAATATTAACGTTTTGAAAAGAGTATATAATAATATCTTTTAGTATTAGCGTTTTCTAAATTAATCTAATGTTTAAGATCTATCCAAAGCTAACTGAAAAGGCACTTTGCCAAACATAGACTAGTTCAGTAGAAGATAAAATAGGGAGTTGATAGAACTCAGCGGTAGAGAAGACTGAAGAGAAGGCGGTCCGCCTCCGACGAACAGTTTCCGCCTTGCCCGCGTACCACTTCCATTCAACCCTTTTGAGCTTTTCCCTGTTCTCAAGACTACGGCGTACAGGTGAATCGAATCCAAACCTTGCGTCAAGACGTCTAACCCGTCGGAACTGCGATGATGGACATGCACACAAGCTGTTCGACAAAATTCCTCTTCAGGATCGCCAAATACTTTCCCCCTTCCGATCGGTTCACTGGTCGTAGAATAACGAAACCCCCATTTTCAAGGGCTATGATGACAGGAAAACCTCTAGGAAATGGGTGGTGGCAGAGGGGAGATTTCTGCCTTCTCTATGGCTATGGCAATGGATTGAGGCTTTCTGCGGTGTTGAACTGCTCCAAATCTGCAAAAGCCACTGAGGAAGAATCAACTTGTGGGCTTGAGAAGCATTTCTTGGTGGATTTTCTCACAGCCTCCTCACTCAGCTTCTCCCAAGGTGATGCCATCTCCGTGGCTGCCAAGGTAACCACATCTAAACCTCGAACGAAACCCGATTTAGTCGTTGATTATCTGAAGACTATAGGTTTGGAGCCTGCCCATATCAAGGCTGTTGTTTCCAAGCATCCCAAATTGCTATTATCTGACCCCGAGAAAACCATTCGCCCGAAAATCCAGTGCCTTCAAGAGCTCGGGCTGTCCGGGTCAGATCTTGCCAATTTCATTGTTAGGGATGCTTCGTTTCTCTTTAGGGGACTAGATACCCATTTAAGGCCCAGCATTCGTTTCCTCAAACAAGTCGCGGGTGGCAATGACAATGCTGTGAAAGCCCTGAAGAGATCGGGTCGGTTTCTTTCATTCGGTAGACCAGACCGTATGGAAGAGCACGTCCGGCTTTTGAGGGACTACGGCATTCCAGAAGATAAAATCCAATGGTTTGTAGTGGCAAGACCAAATGTTTTAACCAAAACCCCCGATTGGACCCGCAAGATGCTAAACACAGTTGAAACTGAGATTGGGTTGTCGCGAAACTCCCCAATGTTTTACAGTGGATTGTGTGTGGCATCTCAGATGACCATGTCAACAGTGAACAGAAAGGTTGATATGTTCAGAAGCCTAGGGTGGAGTAAGCCACAGATTTCTACTCTGGTGCAAAAACAGCCTCATTGTTTGATGCTATCCGAGGCCAAGTTGAGAATGAAACTGAACTTTTTAATGAAGGAACTTGGTTATGGGCCGCATTACTTGGCGGATCGCCCCATGTTGATAATGTCTAGTTTGGAGAAGAAGACCATCCCCAGGAGTCGAGTGCTGAAAACTCTTGAAGAACGTAAGCTGAGCGTTTGTTCACTCTTCACTTCCTTGTTTTTCACTGAATCCAGGTTTTCGGCGCGGTTTCTGCTGCCTTACAAGGATGAGCTGCCTGATATGTATGACAGGTACATGGCCAGTATAGCTCCCTGATGCAATGTAAGATGCTTCTTTCTATGGCTTTGATGTTAGTAACCGCATTTGTAATTAGCGTTAGAGTTCTGGGAATGGGTTAGAAGGTACTCTTGGACATACATAGGCCGGGCTACTTGGACGAAAAACAAGGTCTGAAGTTTGCGCTTTGAAAACAAGGAAAAACCCATTAAATAAATGGGTAGGACTTTGGATAAGCCCGAGCTTCATGTGTTTTAATGATCTACAAAGAACAATATGCTATGGCTCCGTTTGGAAAATGGCATTTCAGAGCAAGATTGGCTTTGACTATATTTAGCTGTTTTGAATAGTCAAACAGCTAATTTAAGTGTTTGCATAATGGCTTTGAGTATATTAGTTCATTTAAAAAAACAGCATCTTTGTTATTCAAAAAGAAAAAAAACAACTTCAATCCTTCAAAAGTTCAAAAAAGATCAGCAGCTTCAAATTATGGATGATGTATGATGTTTGTCTTTCTTCAAAGCTAGGTTCTCAATACTCAAATATATATTACTGTGGGAAAAATATGATGTCTTCTCCTAAATCTAAGCATTGGCCAAAAAAGATGCAAGAGAGAAAAAAAGGATAAAGATTCAGTGCATTTGATCTTCACAATATAGGAAACAAGAATGAAAAATAAACAAAAAGAAATAAAGACGCCTCAAAGTGAGATAAGGATGTAATTTTTGGAGAAAAAGATGCTCCATACCGAGTAAAGAAATATAATGAGAAACCCAAAATGATATAAAAAATGTCATATGTATATAGAAATTTATCTCCGATGGAGCCAAAATTTCACCATTTTTTGGTTTTAGGGTGTGATGGAATAAATCAAAATGGATCTCTAAACTATCTGCGCTTCTTTAATTAATGAAGTAGCAGTTAGTCAAGCAATGCAACTTTCGACGTTGAGCCGGGGGTCTCTTTGGAAACAGCCTCTCTACTTTCGAGTAGGGGCAATGTCTGCGTACACACACCCTCCACAGACCCTACTTTTGTGGGATTTAATTAGGTTGTTGTTGTTGTTGTATATAGAAATTTAAGTTACCTAAAAAAATATAAATGAAAAAAAATTAAGGAAGTTTACCTAAAACCTATGGAGGATTGGGACTGAGGAACATGGTATTATGGAACCGAACCTATATCCGCAATTATTGGTGGGATGTGGCTAATAATAAGAAAAATCTTTGGGTTAAATAGATCCATGAGAGATACATAAAGTGGAAAAAGACAACTACTCCCTCCGTCCCAAATTATTTGCCACATTTGTATTCCCGAGGCAAAATATCAAGTTTTTTAATTCATTTTATTTACATATTGGTAAAGAAATAAAAAATAAAATTTACATATAAAAAAACTACATGAAAAGTTCTTCGAAATAAGAGGTGTCAAAAATATTTTATTTTATCAAATAATCAATGAAAACGTCGAAATAAACAAAAGTTCCCGACACTGCTGAAAAAGAAATGTTGTGAATATTTTGGGACGGGGGAGTATAAGCTAAAAGGTGATTGTTGCTTTTACTGGAAGAAGATTATACATAATAAAAAATGGTTTGAATCTAGGGTAATGAGCCAGACCACTACATACTGGGGAAGGAGGACAAAAAGGTAGTCAGGTAGATAGATTTGATTTTATTTTGAAGTTGAAGATGTAATTTTCGTAGCTTTTGGGCAAGCCCTGCTGTAAACTTCTTGGGGTGAATGAATGAAAATGTGTGCACTTTGTGTGTGTGTAGACACACATTAAAATACAAAGTATGTAGTATAATATCCTTAAAGGCAATATCATTCGCAACAGCTATTTATGAGCAGGTAAGTTTGTCAAACATTTTTTGATAACAACCAATACCACCAGCAAGTCAAAATATAGTTAACTCAATCAACCTTTCAAACATGCCGACATAAACAACCAACAACCATTTTCCAAACAAGGCTCATATGTTATATGTATACGGTATGTGAATGGGAGAATATGTCCATTATGATTTTTTACACAATGTGTTTTAGATTGAGTAGTTTTTAAATTTGTAAATTTTTTTTATTATTCCAATACCAGATTATAAATAGATTTTTTTCAAAAATCGCGAGATTTTACCCATCGTTCAAATAGAAAACTTCTTTTAATGACGGAGGGAGTATTTTTTTGGGAATTACTACAGGGTTGTTTTATTCTAGGTAAAAAAAAGTACCGCGTATTTTTTTTAAAAAGACAAAAGGAAAGTCGTAAAGTGTAAACACTTGCAAAACTCTATGCTATATGTGGAGTCTGTATATGGTACAACTGATTGTACTAGAAGTAAGGTACGAGCAGACATGCTCAAACATGGATGAGTCGAGTGGAAGGTCTTGGTCATGAATGAGCCAAGGAGACGGGCTCGGCCTACTCATTACAGAGCACACGAAGTGTTTCCTCAGGACGTGGCTTGTGGGGTCTAATGTGAGCTTTCTCTGTACTCTTCTTGGTGACGTGGGGTTAGCGTCCATCAGTTTTTATCCATGTCACTTTTTTATAATTATACTGCTCAAACTTTGATCGTTATTTAAACAAAAATTATATTTTCTTATATAAATTTTTCTATACTTAAATATATATAAAAACAAATCAAATATAATTAAAAATGTTTTAACTTATTTTAAACCTATTATTATTCTTATAAAATTTACTCCATATTATTTTTCCTCAAATTACATAAAAATATGATATTAAAAAGAAGAGTAAATTTCCAAAATGATCTTTCCTAATAAATTATTTTCCTAAAAACGATTACTTATAATTAAAGATGCGTATCAATAAGATAGTAAATTTCTAAAATGGTCCTTTCTAATAAGATCCGGAGTATTTTTTAAATCAGTCCTCAATTAATTCTAATTACTTCAGTGATACTTAATAAATGAGATTTATTTCTTATTTAAACCTCCATAAAAACATTACTTAAATGTCAATTAAGTGGAGGATATTTTTTGTATCCTGCATCATCTAAACTTAAAGTTAGCTTTCAAAATGACTATTTCAAATGAAGTGTTTTTTCAAAATGGTCTTTTCTAATTAAGGAGATGTATCTTTATATTTTTAATAATTCATGAATGATGTGTTGTCAATGATTATTTTAATTTTATACTCCCTCCGTCCCGAAATAGATTACAATATTCCTTCACATTTTTGTCCCAAAATGAATTACAAAGTCAATAACTTTACAAGGAATTGACTCTTTTACCCTCCCACTCCTACACTATTCACACACTATTCATCCATGTGAGTGGGAAGGATACTTGGGAGATTTGGGGGGTAATTTGTAGAAAAAAAATTGATTTGACTTTTCCTTAATTTCAACAAAAAGGGAATATTGTAATCTAAAGTGGGACGGAGGGAGTATGAAATTATATAGGAGCGACTATTTTAAATAGTTACTTTAAGTTTAAATAAAAGAAAATACAAAAAATAACCTCCAATTAATGATCATTTAAATGACATCTTTTACAAAATACTCCCTCCGTCCCAAAAAGTTTGTTACGTTTAGAAAAAACTGCGTCCCGTAAAGTCCGTTACATTTCTATTAAAAAACCACTTTTACCCCTTACTTTTTCATACCATACCTATCACATCATACCTTTTTTCTAATAATCTACCCATCACATCTTACTTTTACCCATCACATCAAGGGTATTTTTGGAAAGTCAATACCAAAATATCCCTCCCTTAATTTCCCAAAAAGTCAAACCGTCTCATTCTTTTTGGAACGGAGGGAGTATTATTTAATGAATAAATCTTAATTATAAAATTTCATGTATATATAAATTATTGAAGACTAATTTAGAAAAAACAGTTACTCGGAGTAATTGATTGTTGTTCAGAATTTACTCTTAATAAAAATAGCTAAGGTGCCACCACATGGGTGCTACCATGGGTGCACCCATGCTTCACACAGACAAACACAGAAGATAATTTTCTGTGTGACATAAACAATTATTGTCTGTGTTTGTCTGTGTGAAGCATGAATGCACCCATAATAGCACTCATGGTGACACCCTACATTATTTAAATATTAGAACGGGTCAAGCCTAATCCTACCCGGAGTCCGGACCTGTCGAACTACTTGCGATCTAACAAATCTGTTGGTCCTAATATCGCGGCGGAGCATTGGAGGAGAAGTCGATGTCGGATCCGTACGAGAGAGCTAAAGGCGGGAGGCTAGCCTTCAAGGGAGGCGACCTCGCGCTGAGCAGCAAGGCAATCGACAAGAAGAAGAAGAGGAGGAAGAAGAAGGACAACAACAACAAGTCCTCCTGCGACGATTTCGTCTCCGACGAGCCTTTGTCCGGCGACGCGGCCCTCGCCGCCTCCGAACCGGGTTCGGGTTCGTGCCCGGATGGAGGAGACGCCGACATCTACACCATTGACGCGGCGAAGAAGATGAAGTACGACGACTTGTTCCCTGTTGAAGCTAAGAAGTTCGGGTACAACCCCAAGGCCAAATCCAAGTCCGTCGAAGAAGCCCTAGATGATCGGGTCAAGAAGAAGGCAGATCGCTACTGTAAATGAAAGGTCAGGTTTTTAGGTGTTTCCACAAACTTTACATGGTTTTTATGTGGATTTGTGGTGTTTTTTTTAAAATTACTTTTTCATATTAGGGTTTCCAAAAATTCTGATAATTTTCGAATTCCCCATTTCGAATTTGATAAACTTCTGTGATATATAGATTGGTAGTTAATTGCTTTCATCTTGTTTGTGAATCAATGCTTAACAATAGTTTCTCTTAGTGCCCTATGATTAAAGCCTTTCATTTTGAGTTGCGGGATGAATTTTTCTCGGATGCACAATTTATGCTTTAAATGGATTAGTTGAGAATAGTTCCGGTGTATGCCCTATATGATAGAAATTCCAACAATGGCTATTCTTGGGGTTCACATTAGTCTAACCATCAAGATATATAAATGGGCAAGGTTCCCATGACATTGCCCGACAATGTCATGGGAACTTTGGTGTATATAAATAGAGGGTTTAAAAAGTTAAAACCTGATGCCCTTTCTCTTTACGCCCTTCACGTTTAAAAGAAGATGTTTACACTCATAAAAGATTAAACTTGGAACAAAAGAGCTACCGAGGCATAATTATGGTGACCTACATCTCTCCCCCCCCCCTCCCAAAGCTAAAGGTTGACATTTCTTGTTCCCCACACAATAGAGAGTCTAAAGGTTGAACCGTTGGATGTTACGAAATGTACCCAAATACCCAATGTTCATTTGGAAACCAGCTATCCATTACTCACCCTATAGTCAATAACAATTTCGCGCTCCAATATTGATACTTGCACTCCAAAATTACTCTATATGCAAAAAGCATACTTCCACCTTCCATTCTTTCCTAGACACTTTCATGTTCAAGCGTGTTACAAAGTTTACCCAATGTTATTATGTTTGAAGTGTTTTCTATGGGGCTTGGCGAGTTGATCTATCATTTATCAATTGATCACTCTTACTGAGTAGTGACAATGGTTGTGCCATTTTTCTGGAGTTGAGCTAATCTTGCATGAACTGCCAAATTTTTTAGTCTACCTTGGATGTAATTTTGAAGGTGTTCGAATGCCACATTCTGGCTTCATAGGTCATGCAAATCTGCTTCAATATCAGTATTGGCTAATGAATCCCTGAACTCTCTACCATCACAGTCTTCATGGTTACTTCTCTGATACTCTAGATCATTTACATGCTTATAAACCGTCCCCACAAACCTAATCACATTATACTCTTCCTTATAAGGTTTAACCTTATACCATCTAGATAGTGTCATAAGCTCTTTCACCTCCTCATCCTTACCTTTCTCCCTTTTCTTCCAAAGTTCATGATATAAACCAGTCAATCTCTTCAACCAATCTTCTTATGACCTATTGGTTACTATTTTAAGTTGTGGAACAAAATGGGGTTCCCAACCATCCCTCTTTAATATTTTGTTCAGCTTGTATGCAAAATTGACACGTTGACGTATAGACCAAAAGTAAGGATTATTTAGCCAAAAGTATAGAGGTACGTCTGGTTTATACTTGCAAGAAAAACTGAAGAAATGCACCAACTCTGAAGGCAAATTCACCGCTAGCTTCGCATCTTCGGTCTTCGTGACATCATCAACGAATGGAAATGTAATGACACGCTTCATAAGGCTTGTTAATTCCTTTGCATCATTTTCAACATCCTTGCAGCTATAACCCTTCTTTTCATTGTCATCAATTGAAGGTAATATACGCCCCTCGACATTGTCTGTAACAAAGGTGTTGAAAGCTATGTGACCACAACCACGTTGACAATTGAAGTATTAGTATAAAAGGCCTTGAATCACGTCCCTAAAGATGCATCAAAATTCATCTTCAGTAAACTGCCACTATATTTTGATGGTGAGGGGGTATTCACCATTGATTTCAAACAAGAGAGCTTCCTCTTAAAATACTCCTCAATGGTACTTACTCGTTCCGTGAGTAAATGAGGCCTTTTAACGTGTGCACTGTCATCACGCGCCACATGGAAAATGGTCAACAAGTTCCTATGTGAAGCACATAACTGTCTGAGACTCTCGAATAGAAGAAGTTGCTTGCGAGTAGGCTTCACCAAAGATATCCCTACTTCTTTGCCTATGCCAATCATCTCCATCCTCTTAAATGAATCTATAATTCCATCACAATGGGGGAAAGAATAAGTGTTTTCAAACTTCTTTCCGAATAAGTCTTTGTCTTTTTTCGAGTCCTGAAAGACTTCCTTCACCTCAATATCTTCTCTTTTATCTAAACTCTTTACATCCATCTTTTGTGATCCCTTATCACCTTTTATGGCGGCATGTTCTTTCTTGGAGAGTCTTTTTCTGTCTTTGATTTTTCTTCTCTGCCCTCTCTCTAGGTTCTAATGCTATTATCTCTCGAGCAGCTTTTGAAATGGCCTGCCTGATTTGTCCAACATTGTGGTTATAAGAGCGATTGATCCATTGGAAAGCGGTTGCGTGTTTGTTCCATTTGAATCTCATTCTTGGAATGTTACTTCACCGTTCACATGATTGGTTGAAACATCTGTAGAGAGAGAATTTGGTGGGGTAATGGAGACAATCATGGATGGAGGCTTGGTGTTTCGCGTAACACGCAGTCTTTCAGCCATTTCCTTAAGCTGCATACATCAAATGTAAATATCACATACGAAACCAGTAGGAGGGAAAACTAAACAAAATGTGACTATTTCAAGATCTACAGTGATTTTCATACCCATACTCCCCTCCCACAAAAAAACAATAGTATGGAGTAATAAAATAGTTCCACTCTGCTTCATTATCCAAAGTCCAAATCATGCCCATCAAAATATTAGTGTATACCTTTAGTATAATTTTGGGGTACATTTTTTTGGTGTAAGTATAAAAAATGCAAATTAAAAGATTGACTGGTCGGTGCCCTAGTCCTTTCAACTACACCACTAATGACACCGGCCCAATATCCTATCCTAATTAGGTTAACACATCAAAAATTCCCCCTTTTTTTCTAAATAAATACTCCGGCTCCAAGGGAAAGTGCCCATCTGTGAAGCAAAAAATTTCTTACTGTAATTTTGAAGAGAATAAAGCCCTTCGCAGCCGCCTCCGCCGCATCGCCCACCTCCCCTCTCCTCGGCCCCCTAATCCCCAATCTCTCACAAGTCACAGCGCCAGTTCTCCGGCCCTTATCCTTCTCCTTCTCCAGTTTTTGTGTCCGTGGCTATGGTGTCTCCATCAAGTGCTCCATCTGATGCGCAAAAGGCTAAAGATGCTCAAGAAATGACGAAAAGTTTTCTTCAATGAGAGAACGCGGATTATGCCAAGGCAGGAGAGTTAGTTGATAGGCTAATCAAGGCGGGGGGACATCACTCGACTTTGGAGAGGTCCCAATCCGAAAAGGTACAAATTCAAAGCAAACAATTGTAGGAACCCACTTCGTGTGAACACCTTGCAATCCTTTTGGAATGGAAAGCCATAATTGCTACCCGTCTCGATCAGGATCCTTACATTGCATTCCAACATGCAACCGATTCCATTGTATTCCATAGAGGCTGTTCACTTCATAGAGTAGTGAATGTCGAACAAATTGTGTCTATATTAGCTAAGGGCTTTTATCGGCAGGTCTTGATTACACTGATACTGCCATTAAGACATACATGTTTGCATATAATCACCCAAGTTCATCTCAGGAATGGAAGAAGACACATAAGGCAACCCTAGAATAGTGGACTAGTGAATCCAATGCAGCGAAGGAAAAACTTGCTAAAGAGATAATAGCATTAGAACCTAGAGAGAGGGCAGAAAAGAAAACTCAAAGACAGAAAAAAAGACTCTCCTAGAAAGAATAGGCTGCCATAAAATGTGATAAGGGATCACAAAAGATGGATGTAAAAAGTTTAGATAAAACGGAAGATACTGAGGTGAAGGAAGTCTTTCAGGACTCAAAGAAAGAAGTTTGAAAATGTTTATTCCTTCCCCCATTGTGATGGAATTATAGATTCCTGTGAGAGGGTGGAGATGATGGGCCTAGGCAAAGAAGTAGGGATATCTTTGATGAAGCCTACTGGCAAGCAACTTCTTCTATTCGAGAGTCTCAGACAGTTATGTGCTTCACATAGGAACTTGTTGACCATTTTCCATGTGGCGCGTGATGACAGTGCACACGTTAAAAGGCCTCATTTAGTCACGAAACGAGTAAGTACCATTGAGAGGTATTTTAAGAGGAAGCTCTCTTGTTTTAAATCAACAGTGGATACCTCCCTCACCATCGAAATATGGTAGCAGTTTATTGAAGATGAATTTTGATGCATTGTTATGAACGTGATTCAAGGCCTTTTATACTTATACTTCAATTGTCAACGTGGTTGTGGTCACATAGCTTTCAACACCTTTGTTACAGACAATGTCGAGGGGCATATATCATCTTCAATTGATGACAATGAAAAGAAGGGTTATAGCTGCAAGGATGTTGAAGATGATGCAAAGGAATTAACAAGCCTTATGAAGCATGTCATTACATGCCCATTCGTTGATGATGTCACGAAGACTTGAGAAGCGAAGCTAGCGGTGAATTTGCCTTCAGAGTTGGTGCATTTCTTCAGTTTTACTTGCAAGTATAAACCAGGCGTACCTCTATTCTTTTGGCTAAATCATCCCTACTTTTGGTCTATACGTCAACGTGTTAATTTTGCATACAAGCTGAACAAGATATCAAAGAGAGATGGTTGGGAACCCCATTTTGTTCCACAACTTAAAATAGTAACCAATAGCCAATAGGTCATACGAAGATTGGTGGAAGAGATTTACTGGTTTATATCATGAAATTTGGAAGAAAAGGGAGAAAGGTAAGGATGAGGAGGTGGAAGAGCTTATGATACGGGTACTATCTAGATGGTATAAGGTTAAACCTTATAAGGAAGAGTATGATGTGATTAGGTTTGTGGAGACGGTTTATAAGCATGTAAATGATCAAGAGTATCAGAGAAGTAACAATGAAGAGTGTGATGGTACAGAGTTTAGGGATTCATTAGCTGATACTGATATTGAAGCAGATTTGGATTGCTTCTTTCCTGTTTATTATACTGTTATGTTCAAAATTGTGTGCTGCTGTGTTGAGTCTAGATCTATTGATGTTGGTTGCTTGAAGGAGATTTCTAGTTTCTCTTTTAACAGTAATGTATTTAGGAGGACATCTCGCAAGCAGCACATCTTAGGACTCGGCATCGGGGAGTGCAAAACAGAAACTGAGAAGCATGAGAACCAGCAAAGCTTTGGCGAATTTCGTGGAACCCTTTTTTGATGTATCCCATGCCTTCGCTCGTGGGTAACTGAAGAGCTAGCCATTGATACTGCGGAGAAGCTGTGCAATAATTTTCCACCTGCAATGGTTTCAAACTTATCTTTTACACTATGTTTGGTTTAAGGAATTTGAAAGGAAAAAGAAAAGAAAATGAGATGGAAAAAAATGAAAAAAAAAAGAAAAAAAAGAGAGAAAAAAAAGAAAAAAATCGCATTCGTTAAGTTTTAATGCCAATGTTCCATGTCCCCAAGTTTTAATGCCAATGTTCCACACACACTTATCTGCACATGCATTACATTCGTTAAGTTTTAATGCCCATGTTCCATGTCCCCAAGTGAAAACTCTACTGATAGCGGAGTGTTGAGATATACCGAAGAAATCTTAGAAAGTGTGTGAAACCATTCGAATTACTCCTATTAACTTGGTACATGGAGAGAGGTTTCGTTGTTTATGATTCTTTACTACATTCAACCTATAACTGAAAACTTCATTATCATGTCTAAGTTGAAATTTCAATATTCATAATTGAGAGATTGTTTTGATAATGATTTCCGACTACCATCAGAGCCAATAATTGAAAGTCTTTGTGTCGTAACAAATTTGGAATTTCATTATTATTATTTAAATGTTGGTTTAAACTCGATTAGTTTGCTCTTGTTCAGGTCATATCTACAACAACAAACCCAGTAAAATCCAACAAAAGTAGGGTCTAGGGATGTGTCTTATAGATCTACCCCTACTTGAGAGTAGCAAGAGACCCGCGGCTTGAACACAAAAGTACGGACTGAGCAAACGAAAAGGCACAAACCATAGAATGTGGACATACACACGCTACAGATAAAAGGCATAAAACACATCATCGTAGACCTTAAATGAATTATGTGAAAGCCTATTTAGTCTCCATTCTTCGACCTTAGATGAATCTTCTTGTTCTTACTCTAAACTGATGTGTTATTGTGCTTCACATTCATTCACAACACAAACTATGGCCAATATCAGGGAATGTAATTTGCTCAATTATTTTCTTGTCTTTTGATTTCGGAATGTATTCAATAGTGATCTACTTCTATTACACATAGTGCTTATTTCTAATGCTCATGTAACTGCAATTTCAGGTAACTTTTTAAGTGATGGAGGGAACTTAAGGAATCAGTTACTGTATTCTCTTCAACTTGCAAACCCCCTTATGGAGATGTTAGAGTTGAAGCTGTAGGTCAATTGAAGCTGTAGGTCTGTACTGGCGCTTACTACCTAATTAACGGTGCATTTAGAATACAAACCCCCCTTAGTTCATACCATTGTACATTGTTAAACACTTCATCCGTTGATAGTCGATTCTCCATATCCAACACAAATTGCTCCATTGCCAAAATTTCATCAATTTCACAAGATTATTTGACAATTGTTCTTAGTCGATGTTCTCTTCACCTGATCTATCTGATTGGAATAAGTTCTGATCTATAATTTGGTCTCATCTGATATGATTGTAGTTATATATGATTGTAGTTATATTTAGGGCCCGTTTGGCATCTGCGTTAAAGATTAGTGTTAGCGTTTTGAATAGACTGTCTGATGGTAGCCTTTAGCGTTAGCATTTTCAGAGTTAATCTACACCATTAAAATTCTATCCAAAATGCTAACGCTAATTGAAACCGTTGTTCCCAAACAAGGCCTAAAGTTGATTCTGGTCTGATGTGATTCCGTACATGATTACATTTTTTATCCAGGGAATAAAGTACCTGATAAGTTTATACTTTCTATATTTTATAAAGAAAAAGTTTTGTTGTGATAGAGACAATTGTGTCATTTCCCAATCCAAAAGAAAAAATGGCGAATTTGATCATTAAATTTATCAATGGCCAAAAAGTATATTCCCCCTCTAACAATATATTCCCCCTCTAACAATAAACTTCCTAGGTACTATTATGGCCTCTCGATAGTTTATTTTTATTTGCATATTTTCATCAATCATTTGATAAGATAAAATATTCTAGTCATATTTTGTTTTGTAAAACTTTTGATATAGTTTGGACCAATGTAATTTGCACCTTGTTGTGATATGCCAATTTTTATATAATGTAATTTGAAAAACAATGTGATTTTGCACGTTGTTCAAAATGAAAAATTTATTGTTTGATGGAGGAAGTATATAGTCCAAATATTCAAAGAGTGAATGATACTTTAATTTGAAAAGCAAATAATGGGTCGAATGAAAAAAAATACGGAGTACAAGATACTGAAATTCAATTGTATCCAGGGACAAACTTGTACTCCGACTGTCCTTTAAAATGTTTCAACTTTCACTTCTTATCCATTCCATAAAACATTTTAGTTCCACCTAAATGTGCACAATTTTTCTTACTCTTAATGAATCTAACTGAACCTACCACAATTATCTTTTACGCTCTATTCATTTTGACATTTTTGGATCTCAACTTGTTTCAATTAACGTCGTTTTGTCTTGGTCAAATTTATATATCTTATTCTCGCAAAAGTCAAAATCAGAAGAGTTTTTCAGGACAGAAGAAGTATACTCCAACAAAAAAAATGTAAAAAAGGTGGAGTGCGAGTAGAGTGTATTTATCAATTGCCTATAGTAAATTATTGCAATTAACCCCTAGATCCATAGTCATTCTAAGTAAGAGAGCTCTTATGTCTTATGAGGTTTGATTTTAATGTTTTAGTAATCTCTCTCTGCTCGGTGTCTTCAAGAAGGATACGATCACATCTCCTTTTACCAAATGTATATTGAGTTTGGTAGCAATTGTGGGTTGATTTTGCCATTTTACCTTTTTTGTAAATCTTGTCTAAGAAGTTGAACTTTTTTCGAATATTTCGTTATTCCGATCCGAAAATTTAGACCTGCAAATTTCAGATATCCGAATATTTTCGGATCATATATGGAATGAGTTTTACACTACAAAAAATGCCCGTTACGGATCGGATTGAGCCGATTGAACACTCCTAACTCTTAGGGACAATTTTGAACCAATGGGTAGAAGGACAAATTTGCTTTATTCTTTATAGATTAGTGTGATTTTTGAACATTTTCGCTTAAATGCTTGAAACGTACCAGGATTGACACCAAGTGTTTTACAAACATGCACTGACAATATGCGTCATGGACGACGTCTCTCTATATACGTCTATGAATCATTTGCTTTCAAACAATTGGTGTCAAACCTGGTGTGTTTGTAGCACGATTGCTCCATGAGAACATGGGTTAGTGTGCAGGGTAGAAAGGTGGGGAGGAATCGTCTCTATGGAGTTTCTTCCCATTATGAGTAATCTTCACTTTGTTCATCTTGTCTTCACACCAATGCAATTGCTCTCCATTCACCTCTTTCATACTCAAAACTCTGCTTACCATTTTGAGGTCTATTTGTGCCATCAAAATCTCCATTTCTTCATCCCCTTTCAACTTCTTCTTTCTCATCCCCCATTTCCCACATCTCTTCATCTCTTTGAGCTTCCTCTTTTTCTACAAATTTCTCCAAAAAAAACAAAAAATATTAAGTTTATAATAATAAAAATAAGGTGGCACTGTACATGTACGTTTTACTATACTTTATGATTATGTACATGGTCATGATTGGTAATATAAATGCGTTTTAACTCCTATTTTCGGGAAAAAAAAACATAGAATTTCTATATATTTTGGTATATTTCTAAGGGAAGGTTCCCATGACATTCGTTCCCAATGTCATGGGAACCAAAGTGATATTTCTAATGTTTTTACTCCAACTTTAGTCTTTTTTCCTTAAGAAAGATGATCAGACTAAGTTAATAAGGATAAAATACAAAATATGAAATCTTATTTTGTTTTAAAAATGATAACTTTATGTCTTTTGTCCCAAAATAAGACCTCTCGCTTTTTCATGGTGACCCAGAAAATTTTCTTTCTTGCATGTTTTGGAAATTTTTATGTGGTTTACAATCTTTTTTCTATCATTTGCGTCATTTTCAACTGCGTAATTTAACTTTCCTCCAACTTTATCTCAAATCAAACCAGAAACCTTTTCTTGGAACGAAGTGAGTAATTTATTCCTACACATATTGTTTGTCAAAATTTTTGACATCGGAAAATGTATCCCGTTGTCTTTAGAAAAAAGAAGCATTCAATAGTCTAAACCAAATTTGACACTACAGATGACAATAATATGTGAATTTGTTCACACAAATGATACAATCATCTATGAACACACAATTCATAAATAATATCGTGTGTGTACAAATTTACAGACGATTGTCATTCGCAGTAGTGTTGCACTTTTTTCTAATTAAATTAGCATAGGATTAAACTATTTGCACACCGCAGGTTAGCACCTTCGTTTTGTGTCAATGTAATGTTAGGAAGATAGTTCATACACACACAAAATGTTAGTGCAAATTTTTTTTAACGTACCATTATTTTGTGTCAGTTTAAAGTATCAAATTTTTGTTAATGCACCATCCTATTATGGGAGCTTGGATGAACTTACTTTATTGATATCTTTGTGGAGGCCTAAGAGAAGGATGGGGTCGAGAGGGCACGAGGGGGATGTGCTTTTCTTGAAAAAAGATGAAAGTATTTTCTTTTCCCCACAATGGCTGTCCTTATCTGCTCTCATGAAATCCATGAATGTCCGGATTGATTCCTCCATTATTTGTATGAATGAATCCGATGGGATCCTCCAACATAATCCTTCCTCCCTTTTCTCCTCTTCTTCCGAATCTAGTAATAACAATATTTATATTCATGCTATAATCAGATAATTATATTCATCATTCATTCCATTATGATGATGGTAGCTAGTATGTAGCAGTGGTAGTTTAATTTATTACGTATTATTATTATTATTATTATTATTATTATTATTACTATTATTATTGTTATGATTATTATTATTATTATACTACTACTAATAATAATAATCTCTCCGTCACAATTTAAATCGTGAATAGTTATTTAAGAGATTTGATTAAAATTATTTTTAAATCCCTCCGTCTCTAAAATTTATATATTTAAAAATTACATTAAAATATGTTCAAAACAAGAGGTGACAAGATTCTATTATTTTATCAAGTGAGTAGCGAATGTGGGTAAAAAAACATGATTAAAGTTTGATAATGTAAATAACAAAAATTTAGTTTAAATTAGGACGGAAGGAATAGTAATAATCCTTTCAAATAGTAATAATTAATAATCATAATAGTATATATTGTTAAAATGAGACCAAATATTGGTGTCATATTATGACACCGGCCCCTTATGGTGCCCCGTTCAACAAATTTTAGGGTTCTTACCATCATAAATCTGTTTGAGACCCTACTCTCGTGTGATCCAATTGGTTGTTGTTCTTGTTGTGTAGAATTGCCGTGTTGTTTAGGCCTTTTTTTTGGAATAATATTTTCTAAATTAGCATTAGCGTTTTGGAGACTGTACCTCTATATTGAGGCACTTGTAGCAGCTTTGGGGACACCCTTCTCACCCTGGCATAAACCTCAGGCCTCTTCCCTCCACACCCATTATCTTCCTCATATGGTTCATTCTCTATGAACCTCTGAAGCAGAACCAGAAACTGCTGAAATTGTTGTGCCACGTACGCCGGGCATCCGCCGCCGCCGCCGCCTACGTGCCGCCGCCGGAAATGGCTGTAGTTCCAGCAGAGAGCTTCCCATGTCAAGCATATTTGTGCCACGTAGGCTGCCTCCAGTTCATTGTATGAATCCAAGAGTTGTTGGTTTTTTGGTGGCCTGAACTTGTGGACAATCCTCTCTGAGATTGATCTTGGGTTGTTTGACTGTTTTGACCTAAGTGATTCTGAAAAACTCCCAAAAAGTATATGTACAATGCTGATTAAATGATTGGATTTTTTTTGTTTTACAAATTTTTTAATTGAACACATGCAGAAATGGTAGGGACTAACACATTTTAATCAAACTTGTTTGTGAATAGCGTTCTCAGTTTTTTTTTAACGTGCAGATTAATTTTTAAAATGTTAAAGCTCAAAAATCTCCAAAATGCTAAAACTGTTGCCAAATGGACGTACATTTCTGTCATACTATATATCACTATGACGATTTTTTAGTGACTAAGACCATGTGTATTGNCCCCCCCCCCCCACACTGCCCCCAAGGCTTAATGAGCAATTACATTTAATCTCTCTCTAATAATTAAAAAATATTGAAAAGTAAATTATGTAAAATAATGAAGAGGGCTTTATGCACTACACCATTTAATTTAACGTCATGGAGCCCCAGCCGCCACATGGTAGATAATGCCCCTCACGGGTCTCCATGACTACATATGGTCTAAAAGAGTTACCCGTATATCTATAGGCAAAAAATACAGAGTATTTTTTTCATCTCAATGGATTCTTTGAGCTTGACTGTTTTGGATTAAACTAGATTGATTTTAATCGATAAGTATATTAAATTTGTGTTGTATATATTGATAATATGATAGGATAATTGTTTGAAAAT